TGATATTCCGAGTGAGCCGCTGAGCAGAATGAGGATGGGAGGGACCGGAAATCAATACGCCTCCCCCTTTCTCCTCACCACACAGCCATAGCAACAGCAATGGCAATCGAGCGTCGCAGACAGCACTTCACTTGGCTCCCTCTTACCAGAGTCCAGGACTCCTTCGCAGCTATTAAAAGATTAAGCGACGAGTGAGACGCGGCCGCTGTTTCCCATCTCAGCAAGTCCATCGCCGTCCCCAGAGCGGCGCGGCGGGCCCCGTTCGCCGGCCAGTCCGATTGATTCGGAAGTGGCCGAGGGAGCCGTGACCGGCGTTCGGCGTACCCGGCGGCCGGCGCCCAACAGAGCGACGACGATGCCAGTGGCTGAGGCAGCACCGCCGCCGTTTACAGCAGTGCAGAAGCATAAGCTGTCGGCCACACAGCCTGGGCTTCAAAAGCTGCCCAAAGTTTTAGCCAGTTGTGCATTAAGTTGTAAAGTTGCCTCAAGCCTAATGACTTTGAAGTAGCGCCCACGTCACAACGTCGCGATGGACCCCCCACCGGACGGAGGTCCGTGCCAGTCCGATAGTGAAGGCCTGCCAGAGCGGCGCGAGCAGCTGAGGCAGCAGCAAGAGCCCTCCTCCTCAGGGCCGATAGCGCCGGCCGCCTGACGCACTCTGAGAGGACATCGGCGTCCCGCGCCGTCTCCGTCTGTCGCCCAGGCTGTCGCCGCCTCAAAGGGTGCTACTTGGCGCGGGCGCTGCCAGCCTCAGCGCAGGCGCGCTCGCCCGCAGCCGATTGATAGGGAAGGGATTAGCCTGATTAATGCCCCGCGCGTGGAGGTTGCCGTGACGTGTGCTCACGCAACGACCGCGTGCTGAGATGGCCTCAGGGAGAGAGGCGGCGACCGGGCCCGACAGAGACGTCAAGATTGGCATCCCAGGTCCCGGCAGGCACGTCGCAGATGACCATCACAGGAGCTGATGTCTTGTCATTATCACAGGTCCCGGCAGACGTGTGGAGTATAGCGTTAGGCCCCGTCACAGACCGCCGGATCTGTCAGGCCACAGGCACTTGTTCTGGTAGAGGGTTCAGAACATTTTCATACAGGTCCCAGCACATGCGTCATGCCCTACCTTTGCTCCCGACAGAAACATCATATTATCAGCACGGATCCAGGCAAATAAATGCGACCACAACTGCAGACCTCGAGCAAAATATCGGATCGGTATATGTTCATTAAAGTAACAAGGCGTTAGGTGATTTATATGGCTATCGAGTTTTCAGAGTGATGTTAGGAAAAACATCGAATTTCCGCTGCTTTTCATTCACAGATATGCTTCGCTACGATTGCAGTGACCATTCGGACAGTGACAGTCTCTTGGCTTAAATAATCTCTGAGCGATCTCCAGTTCGCTTCCTCTCATCAAACGCGGCGTAGCCCTCTTTCTCCCTCTCGCTCCCTCCTCTCTCTCCTTGATCACGCGGTCCCTAATCCGGCCGGCGCCAGCAACATCATTGCCCTGTCCCTCGATCGACCCCCACCCCTACCCCGCACCAGTACACCCTCCTCTGACCAGCGCCGCTCCATTTGTTCGTCTCCCACGCTGGGCCGACCCGTCCTCCGCGGCGGATTACCGATTATTGCCGGGCCGGCGACGGGCCGCTGTTTTGTCGCCGCTCGGTCGGCCCCGGCCCAGCCCGGACCGGACCGGCCGCCCGCTGATGGAAGCGTGTCAGAGACCCCAATCAGATTAGGCTACGATCAGATCGCGGCGGCGGCGCGGCGGTGCGCTTGTTTTTGAACACGCGCCGCCGCGCTCGGAGAAATCGGCGGCGGCAGCAGCAGCGGCGACGGCGGCGGCGGCGGCGGCGCCGGTGAGCTGGGGGCTGAGCCGCCATCGGACTGGAACACTAGCCTGCTGAGCCGGGGGGATCTTATTGGCGGCGGCGGCGGCGCCGGTGAGCTGGGGGCTGAGCCGCCATGGGGCCGGGACACTAGCCCGCTGAACCGCCACCGGACCGATACACTAGCCTGCTGAGCCGCCACCGGACCGAGGCAGCTAGCCCGCTGAGCCGGGGGAGGTCACTGGCGACGGGACAGGCACCGAGTGGCAGGCAGTCCGTTGTTGATACTGACGAGTCAGCGGCCTCCGGAAAATGCATTGGCCGTGGCGACAGCCCCGGCGCAGAAGTCGTGTACAGTTGCGTTTTAGATGTTTTACGAATATACGAGTAACCTGTGGTTGGTAAACCTGCGTTTACCAACAATTCGTTTGCTTACGCTGATGGCAGCTGAGGGGTGGCTTATGATCAGAGGCCGACAACGTATAGCCATCGTAATTCCTAACTCTTTAGGATGCAAATGAGCAACGTGTTGGTGCGCTTTTCCCCTTCCTTCCATGCAGACAAGGTTGGTAATAAATGTATTTGGTACGGCGTGATGAAATCTTCCACACACCTACATCTACATCATATTACAATAAAACCAAACACATTTGGGTACCATGCTGTAGCAGACAACACCAAAGACTGCTGATAAAGAAGTCACGGATTGCGGCCAGCCTGTCTTCTGCGGACGAGCTACAGGGTCCGTATATTGGACACACTCGTAGCGTGGCATCGATGCTGGAAAATGTGAGATCATGGACTGGTAGCAGGCAGAGGCCGGGTAGCTCGACGTGCCGTCTACGCTGCAGAAGATGCTACATACACGTGACTTTCACTTATATTGTGGTACTAATGTGCACAGCAGTGTGCTTAGACTCATTAATTCAAATAAATAAGACGGTAAAGCCTGCGCCAACACCCTCTTTACCTTATCACAACCGGTCATATGGCGGCTCAGGGCAACATCCATGCATTCAGACGGTATCGTGTCGGGATATGTCAGATCATCATCAAACCGCAGAACAGCACCCGAGGACGAAAACAAACAACAGCCTACCACTCCGGCAACTCCATGATATGCCTGTGCCGAGCAAACCAATGGAAGACGGGAGTGATAGAGGGTCCTGTTGTAAAGTACACGACACTGGGCGTAAAGTACATAACACGGGGGCTGGCCGGCCGCCGCGCCGGCTAGGGCGGGGAGGGCGTGCCCACATCACCCGCCAGCCGTCACGTCTGCTCGGCTGCGGGCTCGAACCCCAGGTTCTTGCGCTGCAGGAACATGTGGATCTCGCCGAAGGTGGGCCTCGCCGCCGGGTCGGCACGCCAGCACTCGCTCATCAGGTCGAAGATCTCGCGCGGGCACGCGTTGGGCTGCTGCAGCAGGGCCTCAGGCGGGAGCTCGCAGTGCCGGGCCAGCCGGTCTGTGACGGCCGCGTCCGTCAGGTGCGCCAGCGGCTGCAGCCGACACCAGGTCAGCACCTCCCACAGCGTCACCGAGAACGACCACACGTCCGAGCAGGTGCTCATCTCCTCCTGAAACAGAGCAGGAGACACCAGGTCAGCACCTCCCACAGCGTCACCGAGAACAACCACACGTCCGAGCACTGGTCCTGCGGTCAGAGGTCAACACCGGGTCAGCAGCGGGTCAGGGGCAGTAGCACACCGGGTCAGCACCAGTGCCGCACCAGGTCGGCACCAGGTGAGCACTAGCTCAGCGTCGAGTTGGCGCTAGAAGGTAACAGGATTAACACTACGTGATCACCAGGACAAGACCGGATCAACCCCAGGCGGCATCCCAGCAGACACTGCGCGGGCCCCGACCGCCACTGCTACGATAATGCCGCCAGAACAACGGCCAGATGGGCCGACGGCAGACCACCACAATCAGGCACCGCGGACAGATAACACGGCAAACCACCTCGGGAGGTCGGAACCCATCATGGACGATGCTCAGGCCAGTGTCCCGCGACCCGCACCCGCAAAACACGATGCCTGCGGCCGCCGCACGGACCCGGCGCCGTGCCGTTGACGCGGGCAAAAACGGACGACATGCGACCAACAGCACACGAGACGCGGCCGGCTTTGATACGAGCCGTCGGGACCGTCACGCCACCGAGCGCATTAGAACACTGAGCCCGATGTTTGACCTCGGGGTCCACACGGCATCCCACGGTATCCTCATTAGACCGCGGTCACCCCTGACCCCGGCGCGAGCACACCGGCGCCGCCCGTCGACACCCACCGTGAACAGGGACTCGGGCGCGAGCCAGCGCAGCGGGATGACGCGTCCGTCCGGCAGCGTGACGTAGTCGCTGGCGTACTGGCTCCGGCTGGGCCCCAAATCGCCGACCTTGACCTTCAGATGATGGCCCACCAGGCAGTTGCGGGCGGCCAGGTCACGGTGCACGATGCCGAGCGCTTCAAGGTGCTTCATGCCGGCGGCGATCTGGGTCGCCACGTAGATGAGCGAGCCGTATCTGCGGCGAGAGAAGCGGCTCTGACTTCTGCCGCGAACGGGGCGAATCAATCCCATGTTTTATTCAGCACCGTGACGAGACCGCGGCAGAATCTATTCGAGCTGAGCGATGCACTTAACGAAGTCGATAACTGTCCAACATAAGTGTCCAATCCTGGTGACAAGACAGCTTGTAAAGAAACCAAGCACCCTCAGTCAAGACGCGTCTGCGAGCTAGTACCGAGCAGATTCAATCGATGCCATTTAAAGACGAGCTCTTCGTAACACAAATCGTCAGCATAAAACAACTGCAGACGGCATGCCGAGCCCGATGACGGCGGCGCCACTCACTCGAGCGTCCTCTGGCCGCGCCCCGGCTCGTGCGCCGAGCGGCGCAGGAACTGGCTCAGGTCGCCCCGCTCCAGGTACTCGACCAGCAGGCAGGGCGCCTCGTCGAGCGTGCAGGCGCCCAGCAGCCGCGTCACGTGCGGGTCGGAGACGCGGCCCAGCGGCTCGGCCTCGTGTCGGAGGCGCGCGGCGGCGTCGGCCGGCGCCGAAGACCGCAGCCGGACGGGCCGTGGCCAGCCGCGCCGGCGCCTGGTACGGACTCTCCGGCGAGGAGGTGAAGTGCACCTCACACGCGAAGATCTGGAATGATGTCGGCCCGACTTGGATGTAAAGCCGGTCAGCCAGTGGGGAGCTGCGCCACCGCCGATATAATCAGTGACACACACCTCACTGCATGCTGCCAGCATACAGCATCTTGTCATATACATACTGTTATTGATCACACCTTGCATACCACGCCATGTAATGACACTGAACCACTGAAACTGCACAGCTTCATACCGCACAACTCTGTCCGAACATCTCACTCGCTCCCAGACGCCGCCATGTCCGCCGTCCGCGGCGTCTCACTTACCTCACCGAAGCGACCCTCGCCGATCTTGTCTCGCCGCTTGATGAGCTCGCCGTTGATATCGCGCACGGCCGGCTCAGCGGTGGCGGTGCGCCCGCCGTCCCACACACACGTGCCGGCCAGCCCCTCCACGGAGCGCGCCACCAGCCGGTGGCGGCGCGCGAACGTGGCGCACGGCGCGTCGGCCGGCGGCGGCGGGATCGGAGGCGGCGCCGGCCGCAGCTCCTCCAACGCGCACAGCGACAGCTGGCTGCCCGACTGGGTGGTGCTGGCCGGTGAGCGCTTGAAGCTCGGGTTGTCCCAGGGGTCGGCCGGCCGGCGCGCCGCGGCCGGCACGCAGTCGGAGAAGGGCGGCGGCGGCGTGCCGCTGTCCACCGGCACGGCGTAGTCGTATGGCGTGTCTGGCGGCGGCGGCGGCGGCGGCGGCGCGTCAGAACGACGGCGCGGCCGAAGGCTGCGCTCCTCGCAAACGCGCCACCTCCAGATTACATCAGAAGCCGCCAACAAGGATGCAGATGAGCCAGATAAGGCGTAAACAGTGCAGCATGGGCAGGAATGACATGCCGGACCACCGCAACGGAAGGATGCGATGATGCATCGCTATGGATGACACTGGCACCCAGGTGCCCAGGCGACACCCATTCACGATTCCACCCTTCCCACGTCTCAGACCACTCCGCCCAGTCGCATCAGATCCGGCCCCGGACCCTGACCCTGACTCGGACCCTGATCCTGACCCGGACCTGGACCCAGACCCGGACCCGTCCCGTCCCCGTCCAGTCCCGTCCCGTCTCGTCCCGCCCGTCCTGTTCCGTCCCGTCCCGTCCCGTCCCGTCCCGTCCCGTCCCGTCCCGTCCCGTCCCTTCCCGTCCCGCTCGTCCCGTCCCGTCCCGTCCCGTCCCGTCCCGTCCCGTCCGTCCCGTCCCGTCCCGTCCGTCCCGTCCCGTCCCGTCCCGTCCCGTCCCTTCCCGTCCCGTCCCGTCCCGTCCCGTCCCGTCCCGTCCCGTCCCGTCCCGTCCCGTCCCGTCCCGTCCCGTCCCGTCCCGTCCCGTCCGCTAACCTGGCGTCCTGCCGCGGAGGCCGCGCTGCCCAGCCGTGTCGTAGTCGGCGTTGAGCCGCACCACGCGGTACGGCTCGCCGCACAGGCCCACCTTGTCCTCATCGGCCGGCAGCGGGCCGTACGTGTCTCCGTGCGCGCGTGCGTAGCCCGGTCCCGCCGCCAGCTGCATGTTGAGCCGCAGCTCCTTCATGTTGAGCGTACGCGGCAGCGGCAGCGGGGTGGGGCTGGGCCCGCCGGCCACCTTGCGCCGTCGGCTGGCGCGCACCACGTAGCCGACCAGCGCCGAGAGCAGCAGCAGCACCAGGCCCAGCACCCCCAGGATGACGGCCAGCGAGGTGTGCGGCGTGGCGCCGGCGGCCGGCGACGCCGCCGCAGCGTCCGCGCCGGCCGGCATCAGGTGCGTCACGTTCGCCGTGGACGGCGCTGCGGCGGAAGGCGCGCGTCAGCTGGAGCTCCCCGCGCTGGCTGGCACGGCGGTGGCGTGAGACCGAACGCTGCTTGTTGGCTGCTGTGCGGTGTGCGATAATGCGTGGTGGGGTCAGGACGCACCAATCGCGCAGTTGGTTGCTGTTTGGATTGCGTTTGGATTGGATGTTCACAAAAACATGAATGTAACTCACTGCAACATCAGGAGCTTGCCAACCTACAAGGAGGCTTTTCGATTAGTTACCTTTGCAAAGCCTTTCTATCGGTTTCCTACCTTTAAATAAACAGACGAATAAGGAGACAACAAAACTGCCCTTGGACATCCCCTTGCCTTCGCCAGCAAATGCACCAATCATTCCTTATATTTTAAGCAAAACGGACCAATCATTTTTGCAGACACTTCCTCATTCACTCCATCCGACTCCGACCCCACGTCGTTAGTGTATGGAAATTGCCGATTTGGCATGCATACTGCAGGGCCTTCTTTCTTTTCGTTATTTGATTGAAACTTCGTAGAAGCCGGCAATGGCCTTTTGAAATCCACCAACCATCGGAATTACTACGCACGTCGCTATTTTGCATGCAAGGAAGTTATTAAAATCTTCTTTCAATGAGCACCTGAGCGCGGCTCGTCACAGCTCGCGGTCCCTCTCTCTCCCTCTCTCACCGGTGTCTCCGAGGGTGGTCTGCCACTGGGTCATAACCCGCGCCCGGTGAAAACACAAACGATCGACCAGGCCGGCCAGCCGTCCCGCTTGTTTGGCTTTAGAGCCGGCGACTGAGTTACGGCCCGAGACGTTAACTTTGATCAGCACAAAAACCGCCCGTATGAACCGGCGGCGCTTGCGCCAGACGGCAGATGGCAATTCGTTCTCGCTGAGCTTGGCTGCTCAAACGCTTGCCGACGAGCACAGAGTCGTAGCACTAACGTTTGATCGTACACATGCATGCAACCCACGGATTTATACGACCAGATGTGCAACAAGATATGCTTTATGCAACTGATAAGAACCGCTGTAAAGCCATACTGCCCTTACTCTGACCCTACTCATGCGACTCTGTAGACTATTTCAGTCTAGTAATATGCCAAGGAGGGTGCGAACATTCAACTCGAAATTGTTTTATCCTTAAGAGTCATCGGAACTTCACCCCAGTTACTGTGTATAATGCTTATCATCGACTTAGGTGACTGAAGTGGTCATCACCAGACATGAGTGTGGCGGCCTCTTCCGTCCGCTCCCGCGATTGGAAGTGGTGTAGCCGACAGAGCACCGGACATCACTTTTCTAACCCGAGTTCGAATCTTGCATGAACCCAAGTACTTGCCTGACCACATCCAAGGCCCTATAACATCACCACACCGCACAAACCGCTTGAAAAGAATAAACCCCATCTGTGAAGCCAATGACATGCGACGATAAATTATATGACAAACACCTCTATTTGTGACAACCGCAACAGCCACTTCCACAAAGCCAACCACAGCTGATAAAATTACCCTCAGATCAAAGTCGGACCACAAGAAAGTCACGCCACCGCTGCCAGCAGGCTAGCACCCACCACTGCCAGCAGGCCAGCACCCACACTGCCAGCAGGCCAGCACCCACCGCTGCCAGCAGGCCAGCACCCACCGCTGCCAGCAGGCTAGCACCCACCACTACCAGTGCCAGCACCCACCGCTGCCAGCAGGCCAGCACCCACTGCTGCCAGCAGCCAGCACCCACTGCTGCCAGCAGGCTAGCACCCACCGCTGCCAGCAGGCCAGCACCCACCGCTGCCAGCAGGCTAGCACCCACCGCCACCAGTGTGCAAGCACCCACCGCTGCCAGCAGGCCAGCACCAACCACTACCAGTGTGCCAGCACCCACCGCTGCCAGCAGGCCAGCACCCACTGCTGCCAGCAGGCAAGCACCCAACACTGCCAACAAGCCAGCACCCAACACTGTCAGTGGGCCAGCACCCAACAATGCCAGTGGGCCACACCCACCACGGCCAGCGGGCCAGCACTCACCGCTGCTGAAGCCGATCTCGGAGATCAGAAGCCAGCTGTCGGCGGCCGTCAGCTGAATGCGGACGAAGCGCGCCACCTGGCGGTGCAGGCTGACCTCGAGAAGGCGCGAATCCTCGAATATCCGGTCGGGTTCCGGGGCCAGCGTCACAGCGCTCTCCGTATACTGCTGCCCGTCCAGCGAGAAGAACAGCGCGGCCAGCGAGAACAGCTGTGGTAGCCGGTGACGTGTCAGAAGCAAGAGGTCAGGGGTCAGTGGGTCCGAAGTTCGGCACATAGTGTCAGATCTTCGACGATCAAAGGGCAGGGCGGTAGGTTCCAGACTCCAGTACCGCTGCGGTACCGAGTCACTAGTCAGATCAGCAGCCAGTGCCCAGCAGTTACAGATGCAAGGTAGTGAGGGTGGCGCGCCAGGCGGGCGCAGCTCAGGCCACCGGTCAGATAACAAAGCCGATATTCGGTGTCATCTAACCGGGGCAGCAGGTCGGGGCACAGACTGGACGGGGAAGTTCTAATATGTTTCGAGGAACAAATCTGTCAAACAACATTTGCCTAACCTATAACAGAACGACGCACAGTGTTTCGGAACCTGGAATGGTGCCCCTGCAACCTAACTCAAGGGACAACTGAACAACAGGCCAGCGGAAAGCAGTGCAACTGTCAACTGCGGAACACGACCGTCAGCACACGCGTTTCCAACTAAACGCCACCACAGGTTTAAACGCCACCACAGGTGTGTGCAGGTTTACCTTGACGCCGGCGGTGAACCGGTTGCTGACGTGGAAGGAGGCGGTCTCTAGCTCCCGCAGCGAGCTGAACCGGAACGTGATGTTGACCAGCTGACCGGGGCGCCGCTGCCATCCGACCCACTCCGGCCCTGCCCAACCGCACGGCGTCACGCTGCTGGTCGGGCCCGTACTGCACGGGGATGGCATTGGTGCCTCTGCTCCTTGCCGGGCGGAAGCGCCTTTATTCACAAAGATCAAAGAGGCGCTCGTTTTTTCAGAGAGGCACGCATTTTTCAGGAGCATATCATGGTGCGGTCTCTTATGTTTTCTCATTATTTATATCTTTATATCACAGGGCCATGTGAGTTATGGGAGGCGGATGCACATATTGCGACGGAGGCTCAGTCAAAACAAGCCGACTTGGTGGACGGTTATTTTAAGAAATCTTCGGCTATGGAATTCTGAAGTAGCGTGCACTTCAAAGTAGCAACTTTGGACAGAGATGATGGAAAATATGAACTTCAGTAATTGGCTATCAGCACAACTCATCAAACGTCCCTGTTTAAACACGTGAGCGCCATCCAGCAAAGGGAAGTCTTAATACGGGCCACTTCAAAAGCAAGCAACGTTGGTTTATTTCGCATCGGATCATTCAAGTTAAACATTTACCGAAGGCTTCAATTTAGACCATCCACAGCAGTCGATTGAAAGCCCTTTTAGAATCACGTGGTCAGTGTTTTTGTCGTGGATCTCATTCAGATTACCAGAACGTGACAGTGTTTTGGATGGGCGAGAATTCCTTTGGCTTTGTTGGTCCGGAGCATCTCCTAGCATACACCGCAAACATCATACGACCGCCACCACCAGCTGGGTCTCGGTCTCCCGGACCCCAACCACCCCTCACCTGAACCCCCCGCACCAAGTGACACCCCTTGACCCGGTCCAACGGGTCCTGTCTGTGCGCGCGTGCGGTGCAGCGCGCCCTGCTCGCACCGCTAAACTATGGCCGACACGCGACGTCCATCGACGTCAAAAGCAGCCCGGTCGGTCGGCGGCGGATTACAAGGCACCCGCTGCACCTGCTCCACTGTCATTGCGCCCCGAGCGCACGAGCAAATAAATGGAAGCGTGGTTAGCGAACAGCGGGCCTCCCAGCGCAGCGTAAGAAAGCGCCAGAGCTTTGCTGTTGAGCTCCGGCTGCTATATTCCGGGCGCACGTACTTGTGATGTCGTTGGTTCCGGCGCGTCCATCCGCAAGCTGTCCCAGCCCTTTTTCCATGATCTCGGCTGACCTGACGCCGTCGTAGGTCAAATCAGGCCATTTGGGGTCGGGTAAATCCATGCTGTAGCTGTCAATACCGTCTGAAAAAGGACAAGTGCAAGCTGTATGTGACCGCACGGTGCGTGAATGCACCAATAACGCATGCTGTGGGGATTACCGAACGCCTTGTGCGATGCTTCGAAAATATACAAGAAGTGAAGTCCACATTTTGTGGCAACGTGGCAATGACGCTCTGATGGGCACCGACGTTACAACGCTTGAGCCCCATGGGGTTTCAGCGAAGGCGAATTTACCGCTTTCCTCATGCACCATGCACAAAATCGATCCCTGCAAGAGGTTTGGAGCGCATGAAGAATATTTCTTAGAGCTCCAAGGCGTCTGAGAGATCCCGAGAGAATGGCATGCTTCAGCATTACATCTCAAGCGTCTTCAAATGTCTACCTCAAGTGTGTAAAAGATGATCGCATATCATGTGAATATGGCAGAAGAGGGAAGATGTAGGTACCGAGGATTGATACAGAAGAGAGAGAGAGAGAGAGAGGAGAGAGAGAGAGAGAGAGAGAGAGAGAGAGAGAGAGAGAGAGAGAGAGAGAGAGAGAGAGAGAGAGAGAGAGAGAGAGAGAGAGAGAGAGAGAGAGAGAGAGAGAGAGAGAGAGAGAGAGAGAGAGAGAGAGAGAGAGAGAGAGAGAGAGAGAGAGAGAGAGAGAGAGAGAGAGAGAGAGAGAGAGAGAGAGAGAGAGAGAGAGAGAGAGAGAGAGAGAGAGAGAGAGAGAGAGAGAGAGAGAGAGAGAGAGAGAGAGAGAGAGAGAGAGAGAGAGAGAGAGAGAGAGAGAGAGAGAGAGAGAGAGAGAGAGAGAGAGAGAGAGAGAGAGAGAGAGAGAGAGAGAGAGAGAGAGAGAGAGAGAGAGAGAGAAGAGAGAGAGAGAGAGAGAGAGAGAGAGAGAAGAGAGAGAGAGAGAGGAGAGAGAGAGAGAGGAGAGAGAGAGAGAGAGAGAGAGAGAGAAGAGAGAGAGAGAGGAGAGAGAGAGAGAGAGAGAGAGAGAGGAGAGAGAGAGAAGAGAGAGAGAGAGAGAGAGAGAGAGAGAAGAGAGAGAGAGAGAGAGAGGAGAGGAGAGAGGAGAGAGGAAAAGAGAGGGAGTAGGAGAGAGACACCCCAGTGTACCTCAGTACACCACGTACCTGTGTACGGGCAGCCGTGCAGCTCGGCCCTGAGGCAGACGGTGCGCGGGTGCTCGCTGCGCGGCACCAGCCGCACCTTGGACGCCATCATCGGTGGATCGAGCGGCGTCTTGTGCGCCAGGTACGAGTTGACGTTGCCGTCCAGCAGCGTGTGGCCCGAGGCGTTGCGGTACGTCCTCCAACCGGTGCCGGGCCGCCAGTACTGCAGCGAGTACCGCTCGGCCCACTCCACGCCGCGACCGTTGCCGAAGCGGCCCTGCGTCTCGGCGGCCGTGACGACCGTGACGCGGCCCAGGTCAACCTGCAGGTACTCGCGCACCTCTGCCGTGATGACGGGCAGCGGGCACCAGGCGCCGCCGCGGTGCTCGGTCCGAATGCGGCCGCTGTGCGGGCCCACGCTGTTCTCGTTGTGCGACGAGCTGGCCGTGATCTGGCTGTCGGCGATCTCACCCGACTCCATGCCCAGCGACTGGTCACACTGGCCTGGGGTAACGCGTGTCACAGTCAGCGGCGGGCACACGGACCTCAGGTCATACTGGGTCGGAGCTGGGACGGTCACTCCGACGTGAGGTCATGTCGGGTGTGGTCACGGATAAACCCTAAACCCTAAAGTCTGAAGATTGCAGACATCACTGGGCTCCCGGCATGACACCGAACTTACCGGAGCTGGACCTATAGATAACGAACTCCAGTCCGGACAATCTGACCTGAGCACTCGGACGTGACGTGCTAGACTCGGCCACGTGATCGGTCTACCCCGCAGTCCCACGCCCCGCCCTCCGACGGACGAGTCGAGCCGGTCCACCCGGCGGCGCTGGTGACCACGGCGGCCACTCACCGAGGTTCAGTGCGGCGGCCGGCGCCGTCCAGCACGCGGCGCAGAGCAGCAGGGCGACCGGAACGCGGTGCTGTCGACACATGGCGAGCCGCCCGGGCGCCGCTCACAGGTCCGGCCGCATGACAGTCTGGAACGGGTCGGGGACGGGTCAGCGGCGCCTGCCGCGGTGGACGCGGACTAGGCGGGGTGCTGTCAGGCGCCCACCTGGCCCTGACGAGCCGGGCACCTCGCCACAGTTCGTGACGGACGCGGTACGCTTGGGACACGCAATCGGGATTTTCGGTAACGACCGGACCATGGCGGCGTATGAGAAGAAACGGCAAAAGATGCTTTGCATTTTGATCTCGAGTCCCTTCAGACATGTGCATGTACGAGAGCAGTGGACAGTGGATTCTTTAGCAGACTTTGAGGGGTTGACATTCAGTCCAACCGCTTTTTGGCATAACTCGGCGGATTTTTTTATCGCCTGAAATGGCCTCTCAGGGCAGAGGCAAGACGTGTTCAGGTCCTTTTCCATTCAAAAATAATAATTTAAGCCTTAGCTCTGATTGGTATGCGTGCCACAGTGACGCTCAGAAACCTGAGATATCTTGCCAGGGGTCTATTCATCTTACGCACTTTTTTTAAGCGTAATGTTTCACATTTTAGGATGTTGAAGTGAACATGAGAAACGGTGAAATAAGCTCACGCATAAACATTTGTGCGCATTTGAGTGAAACAGGTTGCTTTAGACAGCACACTTTTCTGTTTAGTAAATCTACTTTTCTATACGTCATTGGTTGGTTATCTTACTTGGCACAACACTGATTCAGAGCCAATAAACGGCGGTAATATCTGTAAATCGTGCTGATGGACGCCAGATATGGACAACTTGACAATTATATGCATATTTTTTGTCATGGTCACCGCATGACTAGCCGAATGGCAGAATATGAATGAAGTTCTTCTGATGTCATGGATGCCTGGGTGACCTTGAAATAGCCTCCCGAAATAGTTTGCGCATCGTCGCGGACGTATAGTTCATAAACTAGAGGGTTTCCGGCCTTAACAAGCGCGGAGCTGTGAACTGCACCGAATGACCTTCAAGATGACTATTTCAGTTCAAAACCCCATACAAATGTAGAACATTCCCTTTGGCCTTTTAAATAACATCTATACGCTTTGGTGCATTCTCGAAACAAACTGACAGAATGCTATTCTAGTGGCAATACACCCGTTAATTTCTCTACTGCCATTCATCAGTAATAAGTCTTGGCTATGCTTACGGAGATATTACTTCCATATGCATAGGTTAATCATGACTTTTATCCGGCCACCAATATGTCAGCGTTCAACACCACGAGAAGTGCTAAACGACTGTGTGTCATAGAGTCATCAGTCCTGACTGTGGCAATAAAAGACTCACACGTAAAGAAGGGAGCTAAGCTCCAGGAGTTCTTTTACGAAACAAGTTGCATCGTATTCCATTGGGCACACGCCTCTGCAATACATCTGGTCTATAGACATACATGGTCTGGGACAATTGAGACAAAAGGCAGCCGGATGAAGTTAACCATTTTACCTCTACCTGGACCATGGGAAACATCCCACAATCGTCAGAAGGAATGGGACATTAGGCTCGGCACCTTCTTTCCGACGGGGTTCAGCCTCCCGCGGAGCTACAGTGAGCTCTATCCTCAGCCCAGTTCAACACGGCAAATAAGCCACAGTACGTGCCGCTGGTTTAAGTAGTGATTCCATGATTCAGCTAAGTGCTTATTCGGACGGCGAATAGCGTTTCGCCATACATTTCCTTGTTAACAAATATCAGTGACACTAGTAAGGCGGGTGCCGACATCCTTCGAAGGATGCTTCGAGTTTTATTTCCAATTAAACTCTCACATGCTGCGTGGCCAAAGCCGATTGTAATCAACGTCGCCATTGTCCACCAGTCTGCCAATGAAGTCGCATGCGTTTGCTCAGATTCCGGTGGCGACAAGTTCCGACAAAACGATTGGCTTAGTCGAGTCGCCGATTGAAAAGATCATTAATCATCCTGCACGATGTCACAACAGTATCCTTTTATTAACCGTATTGTTGCAGTGTTCACCGATCTAAAAATTCGGAACATGTCGTATGCGGTGCGCAGCGCTCATTACAGCGGACAGTCAGCTCAACATTCTTTGATTTCATCAACTCCAAATATTCCGAGAACGGTCCAACTGTCCACTGTCGGTGTCCATCTGTTTCAGGCTACTTGCAGATAGTGATGCGAGGTATTTGACTGACCAGGTTGCTGGGTGGGCGAGTGCGTGAGACAGCATCAAAGGATGACAACACCGCCCTGGCGGGGGAACGTGCAAACAGAATCACGAATGGTCCGTATGAGATGGAAGAGGGTTGGGCTGGAAATCGCTGACGCTGACAAGCGCGTGGGTCCTCAGACCCTGTCCGATGCGGCCGTGAGCTTCGGAAGACTTACCACCAGGCCCAGAACTGACTTTGGGACCATCCCGACTAATCAGCAGGCCAGTGACCCATTCGGACCATCCTGTGAGACGGCAGACTCGACAAGACCAGGCGGTGGGCCGCCAGACCCAGTCGAGTAAGCTGACAAGACCAGACTGTGGGCTGATAATACCTGACAGTGGGTCAGCTAGTTCAGACTGTGGGTTGGTCCGACCAGACTGTGTACCAGCGAGGCCAGACTGTGGGACAGTCCAACCTAACTGTGGGCGAGCGAGGGCAGACTGTGAGTCTGTCCGACCGGACTGCGGGTCAGAGCAGCCCGACCGTGTGTTAGTCCGACCTGACTGGGTCAGAGCAGCCAGACTGTGCGTCAGTCCGACTTGACTGTGGGTCAGAGCAGCCAGTCTGCGTGTCAGTCCGACCTGACTGCAAGCTGAAGCGACCAGACCATGGGTCAGTCCGGCCTGACTGTGGGTCAGCGAGGCCAGGCTGTGGGCCAGTCAGACCCGAGTGTGAGCGGACAGACCCGCCGTCGAGTCGACGGCGCCGGTCGCGTGGTGCCCACTGCCGCCGCCGAGTCGGCTTTTTGCCGCCGCCCGCCCACGGCGCTGATTAATCACTGACTCCGGCCGCGCCGTGGGGGACCTGGCCGGAAGTGAGGGACCTGCGGCCCGACGGCGGCCCGCGCCCTCTGCGGGGGACAGCTACAGCTGCCGCCTTCCGACGGGTGACGGGACAGCAGCCGGCCCGACGGCGGCCCGCGCCCTCTGCGGGGGACAGCTACAGCTGCCGCCTTCCGACGGGTGACGGGACAGCAGCCGGCCCGACGGTGGCCCGCGCCCTCTGCGGGGACAGCTACAGCTGCCGCCCTCCGACGGGTGACGGGACAGCAGCCGGCGCGACGGTGGCCCGCGCCTTCTGCGGGGGACAGCTACAGCTGCCGCCCTCCGACGGGTGACGGGACAGCAGCCGGCCCGACGGTGGCCCGCGCCCTCTGCGGGGACAGCTATAGCTGCCGCCCTCCGACGGGCGACGGGACAGCAGCCGGCGCGACGCCAGGCGCGGCCTCTGATCGCTGGACACTTGCGGCGCAGACCGGGATGAGGTGCTCACCGTGGTGAGGTAGTCGGTGACGACAAGCGTAAGGATGGTTCGATGATGGAGCGCTACACCATATACACAGACAGTGCCTTCGTGCAGATGCAATGTTTTTACAGAGAAACGTTCACCTGTATCTGAGAGATTCTAGGTTTTATTTTATGATGAAATCATCATGTCTCATCTCAAAGTAGTGGATTCAGAGCAGCACTGATGTCAACGAATGTTTCTTATTGCTGATTTAACCAGATTGAGCTTGCCAAAAAGCTCCTACAGTCAACTCAGTTCTGGAACAATCGAGAGCGTTTTACTCCGAACAGCAGCTGACCAATCTCAACAAATCCTGAGAAGCCGAGATCTTGCTTCTTTTACGTTGTGCCTCCGGCCTAACCGCCATGAACTAAACTTCTGGCTTAGAAAAACAGCACTACCACGCACTTGTCTCCCACATCCTTACTAAGGCTACAATTTGCAGCATTATTACAGCGTGAAGGCAAAGCTCTTGACATAAGGAGCACACAGAATGAACCAGAGTAATACGCCACATTATATGCATTTGATTCGGAGCCGACTTTCCTAAAGGCCGGAAAGCTCTGCAGGAATTTGGCATGCAATTGTAAAGTTAAATGCATAGGAAGCTACGCTGTACTGTTCTGATGCATGTCATATCTTGCTCTTCTCAGGTAACCTCTTTTTACTCCGTGCCAGGTTTACAAAGTTTTGACCTTAGCGTGGGCCCCGTGGAAGGAGAAGGCACACACGGTAGTAATAATTTCTTCACGACAGTGTTTTAATGCATAATCTTACAAATGGAGAAGAGCCGAAGGGACACATTTTTTGTTTTGTTTGGGTTTTAAGGCTGAAAGGCTGCTTTTAAGACCGTGTGCTTCTTTCTCTTCCGTCAGGAAAAACAAGATTAGACAAGTTTTCGGCGTGGGTTCTTTGGTTGAACTTTCTCGGTCACAGACGTCCCTGCTAAGCTATGGGATTAAGGAGAAAGACAAAGAAGGAGGCAATGCCGCTGCCGTCGTGGGACGTCACCGCCACCGTCTCTTGCCGCGCAGCTGTCAGGTTCGGATGGATTCAGCTATTGGGGGCGTGACTTTGCCACTGCGACCGTGAGCCCAACACAGCTCTGAAGGTCACGATTGCTCCCAGCGAGACGCGATGTCGCTGGCATGACAGGCTACGGTGTATGAGGTCAATGGCGCAAGTCAGGACGCTTTTTCATAAGCACAATGTTTTTAACCGCACTACAATATGCCACCACTACTATAAGCTCATGCGTGGGATGCGCTACAGACGGCTAGACCTTAAAAATAATAGCCTGGAAATAATTTCAGACCTACATCACCTAAGTTGCCGGAAAATACATTTTAGACAAGCCGGAAAATACATCTTAGACAATACAAAAGCTTAAATCCAAAATTAAGCGCAAAGCTAGGCATACTTTAAACTTACTTTCAGGCCGATATCAACAGACGGCGTGGCAGTTTTTTCGAATATAAGCCACAAATTCCCCTGTGGAATGCGACCAGCCAGCTCGACGTGTATTTCAGTTCGAGCTAACCGCACTGGCAG